TCCCCTGCTGAAGGTGGAGAGCATTTAGTCTCCTTGACGGGGAAATAAAATGATCCAGCAAATACGCAGATGGAGTCACTGTCAATTCTGGTTTTACTGGACGTATGGGCAGTAAAAGGCCCATGATAATCCACCGGCTCCGGGCACAACGTCCAAGAGGTACTCCTGCCAGAAACACGCCAACTTAATTTTCCTTCACCATTCGGACACGACACCTCTACCGCATAGAATTCTGATGAAGTCGCCCCGCACACGGAGAAGCAGCCGCAGAGCAGCGCAAGCACCGCCAGGGCATACACCGCACGGCGCCGCACCGTCGCCATCTCCATCCGTCGTGGTGTTGGTGGTTTTGGTGGTAGCAGAGTCGCTGGGAGCAGTGAGCTGATCCATCAGGCAGCGGGGGCGAAAAGCAAAAGGCAAAGGCAGTGACGAGTACACCGGCAGAAGGGCAGAGAGAAGAAACAAAAAGGGCAGCAGCTCCCCGAGCTCACGGAGAGGGAAAACTCAGCCCGCACGGTGCCACCGGCACAAAATAAATATAAATTCACACCCCAATTTATATCGTGTGGCTGTGGCCGGGTGGGTGCCCGCAAATGCGCAAAGAAAAGACGGCAAGAGAAGACCAGCGGGGTTGGGGAGGGCGCGGCAGTCCCGCAAAAGAGTGAACACGTCGAGGAGGCCACGCCCCAAAGAAAAGGCATCGCGCCCGCCAGCGCAGCGCACTGCTTTACAACTGCAGGGCCCTCCCTCGTCCCCCTCAGCCGCCCGCGTCTCCACCGCTGCTGTCGTGAACACCTTCGCCGCCGCACCACTCCCACCGCCTGCGACGGCGCAGCGCAACGCCTTGGCCCTCCTGCCCATAAAAACGCAGCGCCCACCTCCTTCAGGCGCCCACCATGGACAATTTTGCAGAGGCTGAGGCGGGTCCGTGGGGTACATAACGTTCTCCGCCGCCGCCCGCCCCGGCCGGTCCACCTCCTTCGACGGCCGCATTGGCGCACACCGGTTGTGCATGGACATTTCCCGTAGCTCGCTTAGAACCCGCTGATTCGCCATACCCCGCGCACACACCCCACCAGCGTCCCTCGCAAAAGAAGAGGCATTCGCACATAAACCATCCACACGCATGCGTCGCAGAGCAGCCGCGTGTGTGGTAGTGCGTTGCCCCACGCCGCGTATTATTGACTGGCATAGGCCCCATTACCGCTCGTGGCGTGGCCGCGTGCTTCCCCGTCCCTCGCACAATGCCCTCAGCCGAGTTGACGGGCGCAGTGTGCTGCAGGGACTGCTGCAACTCCTCCGCGCGTGGAGGCACAAATGCGTGGCGCCATCGACCAGTCCCACCCGCGTTCCTTTCACCGACCGGTAAATGCTTTCCGCCGTACCACAAACTGGAGCGGTGCGAGAAAAAAAATAAAAACAGGACAATAAGAAGAAAACAGACACACACACACAAATTCAGAACACTGCAAAAAAAAAAACGGCGTCTCAGGGGTAGCCTGCAGAATGAGTGCAGTCAACCAAAAACACAACAAACAAAAAAAGAAACACACAAACACAAACCCCGTGAAGTGAAGCTGAAGCGTGGGCGCGTCCACCGAGCAGTGGGGACACGCAGCAACAAGTGGAACGACCACCACGCATACACTCCCTCTGCTACCGTGCAGCCCAATCCAGGAAGAAGAAGGGAGAAAGAAAGGCCGCCCACCAAAAGCAATGAAAACCAAAACAATTGAAATGATAAAAAACAGTTACGGTGCTCTACCCATGCAGCCAAGCAGAACGGCGGCAGCGCGTTGAAAGCAAAATAATAATAAAAACCAACGGGCCTGCACGAGTGTGCGTGTATGCATGAGCACATTACGTGTGTGCCCCGTGGGGTGGGACGACAGTCCGTGCGGGAGGACACACACAAAGAGAGAGAAATATATATATATTTAAGCGAAGGACGAGCTGCGCACGGCTCCCTCACGCTGCCGTCATCGCAGCGCCTGCACAC